AATACTTACAGTAATTTTAAATAATTTGAACTACGGTAAATTGATATACTTTTGTGTTATAAAAATAAGCTTAAATTCACACTGGTAAATTCTCTGGGTAGCAAAAGAGTTCAACATTTCATCTCCTAAAATTTTATGTACCTCTGAGGATTTTCTTGTCATGAAAAAATAACGGATCTTTTCATGACAATAATGATAATACCTGGAGGCAAAGTCTATAGACACGAAGATACACAGAAACAGAGATGTGGGATTCACCAAAAGTCAGATAGATTTCATATCACTCTCAGGGTTGATGGACACAAGACTGGGAAGAGGAGTAGGCGTATGTTCAGACCACAAGTATTGAGAATGAATCATTCTCACTAAGATAACAGTCTTCAGAGAGAATGGAGGTCGTTCCCAATTCAGCTTCGAAGCTGGTAGACTAATTTACAAGGTATGGACATTAAAAGTAATAGCACTTTGTCAAGCTCTAATGGAATGCATTATATAAACCAATAAGTGGAAGCCATGACAGTAAAAAGTTTCAACATTGTGGAATAGATCATATAAAGTATAATTATATTTCCATGGTTTACACACAATGATAAGTTTTGTTATTGGTAAAACCACAATATCAATTGGAACAATGTGTGTATTCTAAAAACTAATATGAACAAATGGAAAGAGAGACTTATAACAGAATCTATATTCATTAAGGTCACACCGGATATATGTAACAAGGGTGACTCAGTACAACTACCAACATATATATATATATATATATATATATATATATATATATATATATATATATAATCAATAACAAAACTTATCATTGTGTGTAAACCATTGAAATATAATTACACATTATTGGAAGCCATGACACCTAAAGTCACATGCGGTAAGCAATCGACTAGTGAAAACCCTGGAGACATGCTGGTAGGAGCACCAGAGTAATCCTTAATTGAAAAAGGACTACTTTCATCCCCCAGCAAGCATGGCAGTGAGACACAGAATGATCACACTCTGAAGCAAAGGTTACCGATCTTAGGAAGGAAGACAAGCAACCAAGACTAAACCTAAGTCCGAGGTCAGTCGATCAAACTGTCTTATCCTGTTTAGTGTACCAGTTTGCAATAACAGTCTGCTTGAACAAAGGGCACTCTTTGACCAGGAACAATAGTCTAATTTGTGCTGTGAATAAAGGATTAACATCGCTCGAAATCTGCTACACACCATCAGAAATGCATGGTTGACTGCGGACATTGGAGACGACAGTAGGTGGGGTCACTAGTGACCAGTTCTTGGTAGAAAACGTTCAAATCATGACCCCTCCAGGTAGCAGTGATCACACGCTCATAGTGTCTGATCTCGTTCTTTGTGAGCACATACAGTGAGATGCTAAGCGACCTTGTCTGTGATATAGCAAAGCCAACTATTCCGAAATGCGAAGACTTTTGTCTGACGCAGAATGGCCAACAGACTGTGCTCAGTTATCAAAAGAGAAACATTGGGAACTGCTAAAAGGGATCACTCACACATTCCTCTAATCACGCTACAACCTAAGAAACTATTTTTATGGCTGAAGAGAGGCACGTAGCGTTTTCTGCAAGCAAAGCGGAAATCCTGGTTTACATGACGAATCTCCGAGAGTCAGAGTGACCAAGGGGGATATCTGGAACTCAGGAACCGATGCAACACAAGTGTCGTGTGTGACAGGAGGTCACTTCAGACTGATCTTACCACAGAATTCCTGGTAAATCCCTAAAGCCTGTACCGATTCATTTCGAAAAGAAAACCTACAGACCAGGAGCATGCACCTTAGAAGGTCCAAGCACTCAATATCTCACTAGTTTGGAAATGGCTGAAACACCCAGTTCGGCATTTGAAAGACAATTAAATAACACTGTGACTATTACCAGAATAGGCCATAAGCACTGCATTACTATTTAATAAAATGAAAATCTAGTGGCTATGCTCCAATTAGACCCCACGATGATTCTAGGGAAGTTACAGAAACTCACATCTGGAAAGTCCCCAGGTTGTGACGACATTCGGTCATCCGTTCTAAAAAAAATGCGCTGAAGCTCCATGCAGGTCCTTGTGCGAAATGTTCCAGCACTGAGTGGATCAAAGGAAACTGCCAAGGGAGTGGGAGAGAGCCATCCAAGGGTGATTATCTGCAAAATGTCAACAGTTATCAAGTAGTTTCGAAGTCATTTTCGTTCTGACACATATCCATACACACTACTATTCATCAACTGTGATCCAGTCAAGATATATGTTTCTCAACCCCAATTTATCTTCAGGGACTAAATCAGATTCCTGAGAAATACTCACAAAACTTCACTGATAGTTTCGATTTCGCAGATCAAATAAATTTACCCGAAATCTGAATATTTTGGCAACGAACATGGAATAAGAATTCCATGGAACCTCAACAAGTAGTAATAAAGTGGTCAATGACAGTGAAGACATATATGGTACCGATAGATCGAGTGGCTTTATTGCACATCCCCGTTAATTGTGGCGTCGTAGTCTGTTGCTATGATGGTTTAATGTCAAGTTATACTTTTTATACGCTTCGGAAATAAAATCATCCACTAAAGAAATCTTTTCTGAAGTACATATTATCGCTCCCAACAGATAGCTGCTACCTTGACGTGGTGGTCGGGCTTGCACATCGCGATGAACCAACAAGCTACACTAGCTGGAACCAATGTTCCTGCAGGTCCTACCATGCCAGGAAGATTGTTAGGATAGCAGTTAGACTAAAAGCAGTTACCGGCATAGTGTAAGAATCTTTCCTACACTAATGCTGGGGGTCTGAGAGCGAAGTCGTACTGCTGGGAAACAGGAGTGTAACAGCAGTGAGGTGTGAAGTGGTATAATAAGGTGAGCAATATTGAGGTTAGGCGTCGAGTTCTAGGTAAGGAGGGCAAATCAATCGACGAGGCTGTGAAGCTACATCGATTGAAATGGTTAGGACATGTCTTACTCACGCATGCTTAGTCATCACCTTCTTTGACGGGCAATGTTAGCTGACATAGGGTCAGGCTGGAAAAGAGCTAGCGGCGGTCAAACCAAAACATGGCACCAGTCAATCAAATCCACAACAGTTAGTTCAAGTCGCGTAGGAAGGTGTAGACTTCCTGGTTGGGGTCCTCGGGACGGTAAAAGCCAATGGTTGGAAACAACTGGTGATATGGCTCAAAATCGTTCTCAATGGCTGGCGCAGATGCATCCACTCCTTGTGACTTATGATTTCCAATTAAACTGTTTTTTTCTTCATTATTACTATTCCTTTGTCTCTCACCTCGGTTTACTGTCTATATTATGCATTTTTGCTATATTCTCCTCTTGCTTTGTGTACTATATGGAGTGTGGCGACTTGAACTGCTGCACATCGGTGTAAAGTTCTATGTCGAATACAGACAGATATATTATCGCTGGAATTATATTCCTAAACTGAGTTACATTTGCTGCAATATAATCACAAAATGTTACTTAGTACTGACATATGGTCGGCGTCACTGACGCACTACTTGTTTAGGGTTGTCGCATGAGTCGGGATAGAATCTTACTATTGGTGACCAAAATCATAGGGTACATCCAACTGCAGCCATATCAGTCAACTTCCCCTAACCTAAGAATTGTCAAACATCCCAAGGGGAATATTTTAATAAATACCACCCGCACAAGTTGGCTTTACAAACCACACTAGCAGCCAGATTTACCGCAATTATCAGATCTTTCAGCTTTGCGAGATTAAAACAAGAGGTTTATATATTTGCTAGGATACACTGCATTATCAGCCTCAAGCAGCGAGTAAAACAACCTTGAGCCAAGGTTATTGAGTAGGATATTTGTTAAAAGTGACTAGTCATTATAGATTCATGCTGCTATAGTCACTGCGATGTTAAGTAGTGAGAAAGTACACATGTATGCGTTATGCAATGAACAGCAAACACCTTTACTCGTAAATAATTATTCTCAATTGTTAAAGTTTCAAAATAAACTACTTTGTTCTAAAGGTCTGTCAGACCATACGGAGGTCTTTAGTGCAACAAGATTGCTTAAAAAGAAAGTAAAAAACTCTTTCCAGAATTTCCAATATCGGGGAATACTCGACTATAGCTATGTATGCAATCATTCAGTAAAGGGAAGGAATGTAACCAATCAACCAAATGCCTACAAACCAATACTTGAATGATTTTGAAGTTTTGTTCATCAAATTAACATCAAACGCTAACAAAAAGTGACTCGATAGGAGTTGCACTTGCCTTGAAAACTCTACTAGTTCAATTTAAGTCAAAAAATTAAAACCGAATGAAACTCATTTTGACGACAGGCAATTATCTCGGTGAAATCGTACACAAATTAAAACGCTTCCCAATAAATAATACTGTGTAGTGTATAGAACAAACTAAAGTAAAACACTCGACTTTATTGCGTAAGTTTCTATCTACTTTTCTCATATCAGTCAAATGATGAATAAATCTGATTATAAAAAATGAAAATCTAAAAAAACTTCATTGTTATATTCAGTAAAAACAAAGGGCATGCGGTTACGCAGATTAACTACAGAGTTATTAGAAACATTATCGTCTCCATTAAATATGCTTTAAAAATGCAAAAAGAAAATGGTAATCTGATTGTGTGCATTGCAGGGTAGTCATGCACAAATTATTCGCGTAAAATGTAAGAATACGTTGGTATATATGTAATATAGTAGGTAAAATAAAATTGAAAAAACATCAAATGCATGTGTCATCAAATACATTATGTGATGAGAATGAGTAATATGTACACCAATGAAGGTGTTGCGTAATATATATATATATATATCTTCTAAATGTTAAGTGTGTTAAAAAGCAATCATACAGTTCATGGTAGAATTATGAAACATATGCATTTATAGCTATTGATAATTTGTTAGTAGTCAGCAGAAATTCCTTTAAAAAGCTGTGGTTTGTTCGTCAACTGTACACAGATTATCGACCATTTTTTCTATTTCAATACAAAGTTGATTCATCTAGTTCGTCTTCATCTTCAACAAGTGACTCGCTGAAAAAGATTTAGAAAGATGAAAAGATAGACTTGATGCCATTTTGAGAGGAAGTAGCTAGCAATGGAATCAAAGACTTTTCAACTAAGTTTACGTGTACTTGCAGTTGTGTGATGGTGTTTCCAATGGAGCTTGAACCTTGCATCTATCGTTTTCAACGCTGAGGCGTCACGCTCTAGGTTACTGTGTGATGAGAGTCATCTCGAAATCTCAAGAGATAAATTTATTTACGCATTATTACTATGATTAATATTAAGTACAAAACAATCCATGTTCAGGGTTAATTCCCAACACATTATTTTTAATTCCATGGTACTAGCAAACACTTCTTTCGAAGAGAAGAATATTAAAGCATGAACTTGCTAGACACTACCATCATATCAATGAATACTATTACTATTATTATTATTATTATTATTATTATTATTATTATTATTATTATTATTATTATTATTATTATTCAGCACCGATGTAATCAATCATGCTAAGAATACATATATAACTAATACTTAATTCTGTGGAATTTTATCCTTTGATAAACTTAAATAAAACGAGAACACACCTGGCAAGATTAAATGACGTCATTACAACTTGTTGCTTCTTGTCAGCTGCGTTCCACAATGAACAATTTAATATCGATATACAAATTACTGTCATTATTCATTATAAAGGCAACGGATACTAGTCTCACGTGCATAATGCAGAGGAATAATAGTGGCTTCTAAGCTCGTTAGTATGTATCTAAACAGTTCAGAAATATTCTACAATTACGAACGAATGCATCAAATTGAATAGGAGCTTAAAATCAACAATACACTTATGCAATGGTCAAAAAATGTAGTTCAACAGATCCATGTAGAATAATATAGATCACAGTATCCACGACTTTGAAAAGCATGTCGTGCTTACAGCATAAAGATATATTCTTTCTTCGATTAGAACGAGTCAAAGAATAATGTCATGCACCGGATTATTTAGACCTTTGATGTTAAGGTGGTCATAATAACAACTAACTACTTTTAAAACAAATCGTTTACTAGTAAGTCGTCTGACAGTTTACTTCCCTTAATACGTACAAATACTGTTTATTATTCATCATCGCTTTTCTCTTGCTACCATAGTTCACCACTGATCATCAGTCAGGACCATTGCACGATTTCATTTTCAATTTTTTTAAACACTTCAGGTTTCCTTTGTGACAGAAGAAAATTGTTGAAATCCAGTGATGCTTCACAAAATGTGTCAACAATTGACAGAAGATAAAACTGTGCTGTCTTACAATGAGGACTACGAACTATCCCGTAGCTAACCAAATAAGCCAAACGGCTGAAAATCGGAAATAAACAGTTTCAACACATATACCTTGTACCACATCTATTGCGTCGTAAATACATTGGCACATTGCTATATATTCAGGAAAGTAGAAGAGAAAGGCCAACAATTCCAGGCGTACATACCAACGGCTTGTGTGAAGTCGGAAGCTACAAAGTTGAGACAAACTGCAGTCGCAACCGTCATATCGCAGAAATAATAACTGATCAGATGATGATGACTACGTGTAGGATGATTTAAGTAGATGGGACCCTAGCGATAAGTGCACAACACTCGGTAAAGTTAATGCTCCTGGCATTCTTAAGAGACCGACTGTTTACATTCCCTATACAATCTGCATTAGTCTGCTTGACAGCTTGAAATAAAAACAACGACAACGATTGCTGGATAGTCAGTCAACTTATCCTGGCAGACTTACATCTTGGCCACTCCTAATGAAAATCAATGAGAAGGGAAATACGAATGATCATGAAAATGATATTTTATGATCCATCCTCCGGGATTAATAGATTCACAAAATGCGAACAGTTACACAATCACACTTCATATTTCTTTTTTATCTAAATAGTAGGCAATTGCTTCTGTTTTTACCCACCTGATCATGGTTGCATTGCAAGCAAAATAACACACATTACTTACTTCAGTACACGAAGAGAGAAGAATAACACACGACGCAACCACCGATTGTAGAAAAAGTAGTTGAAAGATGCCAAACAACCTGTACTATAGGGATCGGACAGATGATCTGGACGGTAACTGAAAAATAATATAAATAGGATGCATATAACTACAGAGACGGCGTGAAGTCTACGAAAAAATAAAGGAATACGAAACTAGCAGAAAACTGATCTCTTTACTTACTCTACACATTATGTCACCTTGTTGTAGTCATCTGTGATACATTGGAAGAAACCTACTAACATGCCAAGGAAGTCAATTGAAGCATTAAATAATCACATATAGCTTCATGGGTGATGGAAAATCTGGAACAAAGTCCAACGAAAGTAAGGTGCTTTTCAAGAACAGAAAGCATATTCAACCATGTTACAGATATGGAGGACATTCATGTCTTCGAAACCTCGTCTAGAATGTCCTATGCTCAGCCACTGTCATCGTCATCAAATTACTTACATTCGATAATGATGATTATATGAAGCAATCAAATAATACGTTTGTAACCTACAGCTATAATAAGGCAAATAGTTGCACCAGGTGAGCATCCGTTCAAATAACACAACTCCTTAATTGGGCTCCAACAAATCATAAAATTCACTAAATCCACACAATACCATGTGCGAAGGAAAAGTAGTAAACAGACATTCAAATTTCTCTGTCACTTTCCCCTTCTTCTTCTTCGTTTTTATTGTCTTTTTTTGTAATGTTATATATTTTGGGCTTTACATTTCTAAGAAATTGAGCACCACCAAATTGGTGCTTTAAATAAAGATATTAACTTAAATACGACAAAAGCTTGCCTATAAATGCGACACTGATCAGGTACAATTTCTTCGCCAATAACAGTCCAAAGTTCAGGTGCAATATCTTCGTACTTATCCACATAGATGGAACAAAACCTGGAGATATAATGCTTTACTACCTGAAGAGAAGAAAACGGAAATCAGTATAGACATAGAAGGAATCAAAGACAACAAATGGCTAGAAAAAGGGACCAACAATCACAATAACTGATTTGAAAATCATTGCTAAATATTTGTAAAAACAACTAAAATAAATCACTCGTGTTCTACGATAACCACTACAAAAACTGTAACGAGAACATTCCTACGTTGTGGTAGACAGTGTTATTTGAAAATGCAGATCAAACTGACTTGATGTAAGCTACTGTAGACAGCACAATAGTCGTTTTATTGTGGGTATTTATTAAAAGCGGAACAAGAATATTTTCTGAGCGAACAATTGATTTCAGTAACAATAACAGGCTCTTAAGTTATAGATTCATGAATATTAGAATACAAATAACCCCAGTCAAAGCAAATCAAAATTATATCAGAGACTGTATTGGGGCACAGATATAAGATAAAATAACAGTCCATTGATTAGCATTGTCGATTGAATGAATGCATGTGAATTGTATAGTCAACACAAACATAAGATAAAACGTGAATAGACATTTAAGTGACATACCAATGTAATTATGATCAGCACAATATAACTTTCAGGAGTGTGAGCTATATACACTAGTATGAGAGGAATATGAATACCACAAAAATATAAACAGACACAAGGGGGCACGCTGAACGTAGGTCCAAGGACTGATACAAAATACATAATAATGATAATAATAATAATAAAATAAACTGGCCAACTGTAATCAAATAAAAGAGATAAAATTAGCTTAGTATAAATCCAAAGATTGACAAATAATAATAATGGTATGAAGTGAACTAGCTGAAAAGCAGTAAGAAGGACATAAGACATGGAAATATGAGATGATCACATCCCTGATGAAGTCGGAGTAGACCAAAGTAAACGAAGAGCATGAATGTGCTATTTCTGCACACATGCACATACGTTAGGTTTGTTCTTATTAATCCCTACAACTTCAGCTATGGCTAAGAGACGTATTCACGGACCTTTAGACAGATTTTTTGGAACTTACTATACGACTGTGAATGGCTCATCTATTTTGTTAAGATGTTCACTATTCACCAGATGAAACAACATAGAAATTTACTCATTTGGTTACTCGTTTCCAAAACCAAACTGGTGGATTTTCACGAGTGCGTATAAATAAATTCTTCTGAGAACAACCTATATCACTAGCTCTACAGGAGCGCTTGATTTGTATACACACATTGATGTCACCATGATTGGTAACTTATCTCTAATGCACTGTGTCAGCGTGTAATTCTGCGGCATTGAAAGTTCGTTCGGTAGATCTAATTAACCTAAGAACTAATATACCATCCGATACATAGCCCTTCAACTGCACTCTAAAGTAAAGTTAATTCTTAATAGTTATCAACAGGAAATAATGATCGCTACCGGATGTCAATTGAAAATGAAAATATTTTGGCAACGAACATGGAATAAGAATTCCATGGAACCTCAACAAGTAGTAATAAAGTGGTCAATGACAGTGAAGACATATATGGTACCGATAGATCGAGTGGCTTTATTGCACATCCCCGTTAATTGTGGCGTCGTAGTCTGTTGCTATGATGGTTTAATGTCAAGTTATACTTTTTATACGCTTCGGAAATAAAATCATCCACTAAAGAAATCTTTTCTGAAGTACATATTATCGCTCCCAACAGATAGCTGCTACCTTGACGTGGTGGTCGGGCTTGCACATCGCGATGAACCAACAAGCTACACTAGCTGGAACCAATGTTCCTGCAGGTCCTACCATGCCAGGAAGATTGTTAGGATAGCAGTTAGACTAAAAGCAGTTACCGGCATAGTGTAAGAATCTTTCCTACACTAATGCTGGGGGTCTGAGAGCGAAGTCGTACTGCTGGGAAACAGGAGTGTAACAGCAGTGAGGTGTGAAGTGGTATAATAAGGTGAGCAATATTGAGGTTAGGCGTCGAGTTCTAGGTAAGGAGGGCAAATCAATCGACGAGGCTGTGAAGCTACATCGATTGAAATGGTTAGGACATGTCTTACTCACGCATGCTTAGTCGTCACCTTATTTGACGGTCAAACCAAAACATGGCACCAGTCAATCAAATCCACAACAGTTAGTTCAAGTCGCGTAGGAAGGTGTAGACTTCCTGGTTAGGGTCCGGGACGGTAAAAGCCAATGGTTGGAAACAACTGGTGATATGGCTCAAAATCGTTCTCAATGGCTGGCGCAGATGCATCTACTCCTTGTGACTTATGATTTCCAATTAAACTGTTTTTTTCTTCGTTACTACTATTCCTTTGTCTCTCACCTCGGTTTACTGTCTATATTATGCATTTTTGCTATATTCTCCTCTTGCTTTGTGTACTATATGGAGTGTGGCGACTTGAACTGCTGCACATCGGTGTAAAGTTCTATGTCGAATACAGACAGATATATTATCGCTGGAATTATATTCCTAAACTGTGTTACATTTGCTGCAATATAATCACAAAATGTTACTTAGTACTGACATATGGTCGGCGTCACTGACGCACTACTTGTTTAGGGTTGTCGCATGAGTCGGGATAGAATCTTACTATTGGTGACCAAAATCATAGGGTACATCCAACTGCAGCCATATCAGTCAACTTCCCCTAACCTAAGAATTGTCAAACATCCCAAGGGGAATATTTTAATAAATACCACCCGCACAAGTTGGCTTTACAAACCACACTAGCAGCCAGATTTACCGCAATTATCAGATCTTTCAGCTTTGCGAGATTAAAACAAGAGGTTTATATATTTGCTAGGATACACTGCATTATCAGCCTCAAGCAGCGAGTAAAACAACCTTGAGCCAAGGTTATTGAGTAGGATATTTGTTAAAAGTGACTAGTCATTATAGATTCATGCTGCTATAGTCACTGCGATGTTAAGTAGTGAGAAAGTACACATGTATGCGTTATGCAATGAACAGCAAACACCTTTACTCGTAAATAATTATTCTCAATTGTTAAAGTTTCAAAATAAACTACTTTGTTCTAAAGGTCTGTCAGACCATACGGAGGTCTTTAGTGCAACAAGATTGCTTAAAAAGAAAGTAAAAAACTCTTTCCAGAATTTCCAATATCGGGGAATACTCGACTATAGCTATGTATGCAATCATTCAGTAAAGGGAAGGAATGTAACCAATCAACCAAATGCCTACAAACCAATACTTGAATGATTTTGAAGTTTTGTTCATCAAATTAACATCAAACGCTAACAAAAAGTGACTCGATAGGAGTTGCACTTGCCTTGAAAACTCTACTAGTTCAATTTAAGTCAAAAAATTAAAACCGAATGAAACTCATTTTGACGACAGGCAATTATCTCGGTGAAATCGTACACAAATTAAAACGCTTCCCAATAAATAATACTGTGTAGTGTATAGAACAAACTAAAGTAAAACACTCGACTTTATTGCGTAAGTTTCTATCTACTTTTCTCATATCAGTCAAATGATGAATAAATCTGATTAAAAGATGAAAATCTAAAAAAACTTCATTGTTATATTCAGTAGAAACAAAAAAGAAAATAAAAAACTCTTTGTAGAATTTCCAAATTGCTTAGATCGAAGCAAATTTACGCAAGTTACCTCGGTTCAAACCATCCAAATCCTAACTAGCAACATGTGCGAACTACCTAGACATGAAACCAAATTTTGAAATCACAATTAACAGCTAGTACAAGCACCTAGCGAAACAAGCATCCCGTATTAAGTTCACTTCGATCTGGCTAGCAAACACTGCTGGTTGATATCACCTGTATCAAACTCCTCACACCAAACAGTAGTTCATATCAATGTTCCCTGAATGACACACTCTGGTACTAAAGTTTGTGTTAGACAAGAACTAGTAATTTCTAAAGCAAATAAACATTTCACTTGCATATTCCCAAAGTACTTTTGGAGCAGAATTATATTTTAACGGACACTATTTTAGATAAATCCGTAGACATGTCTGTGGAGACTGTGATATTCCCAAGACGGCAACAATAACGTCATAAGTTGGAATGTCACACGATATCTTAGTTTCTGGAACAGACTAAGTAGTAGTGACATGGGTGCCATCAGGAGACACAATTAGGGTAACGCCGTCAAGTATGAACTCGGCTCGTTGTTAGCGGTGGAAACCACATACATTCAATTCCAGGAAGACTACTTTTGGAATCAAACATAGCAACGTCATTTCTTGGGAGGGACAAACTGTGCAGAAGTTTCCTGAATAACAGGACACCTATACCTTACAACCAAGAAGCAATCACAAAGAAATTAATTTGGTTTACACTAGCTCGTAATAATGATATTGGTTATTTCTTGAGCTGAAGCCAATATTCGACCTCGTCGACTGAGACTTGCTCAAGCAATGTTTGGCGCTTAAGAAAGTGGCGAGAATGTACATCGAGCTATTCAATGCACTCCACTTGAAATCATGCAGCCAGTAAGAGCTTGTTGAGAGTTGTCATCTGAAGTAGTGACAACCGGTGACGTCCGTCAGGGATGCACATTGTCCTCATATCTGTTTAATTTTATCATAGATGTATTAGTGGGACTAACCTCCAACTGACTTCAGAGACTTATTTGTTACCAGGGAATAGTCTTATTCACTTAGAATATGAGGGTGATATTGCTTTCCCATGTGAAGACGCTGAAGAAATGCAGAGTTTCAGATGATCGACGTATGTGTGCATCTATATAGTATCATTAACTCTTGGCAGAGACACGAGCTAAATTTTATTATTTATTTGATTCCTTTGAGTTCCTAGTGCAACATAGGGCTTCAAGACAGAGCTTTGAAGTTTCAGCAGCGGTGGTGTTTTTTACGGAATAGGGCTGCTAGTGTCATGCCCAACCATCCCTCTTAATCGGCCAAGCGAGGTAAAGGAGTACGCCGGTGGGGAGTCGAACCCTGGACCAGTTGCGTGGTTGACCAGTGTTCTACAACAGAACCACCGACAGTAGAATTATTTTGTAGTAGGATATTTTC